TATACGAGAAAGATAGAGATAAATAACGAACTCACAAAGAGATCGTAAGAACCGCAAACCTCAGACTCTTCCAAAGATTGACGGGTATTGCAAGTTACCCTCCTCGGGCTTCTCCTCTCATGAACTCACTAAGAGATCACATGAACTCACTAAGAGATTAACAATAACATAAAACTTTTCATTATCAATAATCATCCATTACAATAGCTTAAGGCCCTTATTTATAGGCCCCAATATGAGAAAATTCGAAATTACAAAATTGCCCATTGGGTCATAACACTCAAACAAACTATCCTAAGGGTAAAACAGAAAATATATTAATTTAGAACTAAAATTCAGAAAAATAAATCATAATAGAAGGTTTAAATGATAGCCGTCGATTTGCGACGCCTCCTGTGATAAATGCGCCAAATCTTCGTACCGATGTCCGCATCAACCTCCCTATCTGTTATTTCTCTTTTTACTTTTATGGTGATTTGGAGTGAATGCAACCACTGAGTTCAAGGAGACCTTGCCATGTCTAGATGCGGCTCTTCCTTCTCCTCTACCAATGCCTCACTCCTACTTCTCTCCTCAGCTTCCTCGTCATTACATACAAGGATAACCTAAAGAGTTCTATCCTTACATATATGCCCCATTGTATACCTCTCATCATATCTGAAGTATAGTCCCTTCACCCTATTCTCTTGCAGGTCCTTCTCAGTGAGCTTCTTGAAGTTTCCCCCGATTCCCCTCCTATAGGCTTCTCCTTTGGGGTCTCTCTAAGGCTACCCGGTGTCGGTCCCTTAGGTGCTAAAAAGGTGGTGGTCATCTTATACAAGCTTCCTGAACTGCTACCTCTGACCTCCCCTCTCCAGATGCTTCTGATCCTCCACTTGGCTAGCTCCATAGCCTCTCACAAATCACAATGGCTCATCACTATAACTGTTGCTTGGATCTCAATTTTGAGCCTATTCATGAAGTTCCCCTCTAGTGCAGTCTCATAAAGTCAGTCTAATCGGCTAGCCAGGTACTCGAACCTCTCATGGTATTTCAGCACTGATCTTTCCCACGTCAAAGTGAAGAATTACTCATAGAAGTCCCCTCCCCCGCTGGCTTGAAAATTTTCCAACAAGTAGTCTTTGAATTCCCTCCAACTCCGTATGGTCATCTCTTGTCTCTCTACTAGTATCAACCAATGCCTTCCCCTCCAAACACAAGCCAGCTGTCGTTAGTCTCTCCTCCTCCGTCAGCCCATTAATTGTGAAATACCTCTCCATCTTGTAGATCCACCCACGTGCATCATCTTTGTAAAAAATAGGCATCTTCCGCTTCCTTACTTGCAAATCTCCTCTGTTCCCCCTTATTCCTCCATAACTTTTCATTTCTCATATGGGTGGTCCCCCCAAGTGTCCTGATCATTCCTTTCACACTCATACCCAAACCTTTCTTTAAATTCTACCATCATTTCAAAATCAACACCCCTTCATTCATACCCAACTTCCTTATGCCTCTCCCTATACCTTTTGCCAATCTCCTCCTTATGAGTAGGCTCTAGAGGAGGTATTCTCTCTTCTCCCTCCAAGATCTCTACATCATGATCATCACTTCAGCCATCAGAGTTTGTATTTCCTCCTACCGGCACTCTTGCCTCTAATGTTGTAGATTGGTTGTGAAGATCCAACACCTTCTTCACCATCTCTTCTAGGTTGGATAATTTATCTCCCTTAAGGAAATTCTGTCATCCACCATTTTTTTTATTTGGCTCATCTCTACACCAAGTTCTTCCAAGGCATTAACCTTCTTGGCTGCCATAGGTACTCGGATCTTGGCCAAACCGCAGAAAATAGTAATTTTGGTCTTCAAAAACAAAAATTAGCACTTTGGAGGGGAAAACACAGATCTCAATTTCAGCCTAGGACACCGCTCTGATACCAATTTGTTAGTAAGTGCTCGTAGAAATCTACTATTCCTTAATTTAATTTCAGCTGCCCCAAACACAATCTCGAAGAAGAATTAAGATAAATAACCAGAGGAAATTTTTTTAAATTAATGATATAAGAAAGAAAACAAACATGATACGATGGACCTTCAATTGGAGAGGAAGATTCGGCTTTCCCAAATCCGTACCCATTGACTAGAGTCCAAACACCCTAAGAATAATCTAATTTTGACAAATAACACATAACCCTAATCCTAGGGCAAACCAAACTATTTAAAGCATACAAATAAAATTGCAAATTCCAAAACAACCCTCCCAAATTCAAATTCTCTCCTGCCCGCCCCCTCCTCTCTTTGCATTTAGGCAGTGGGCCCCACCCCAAGCGGGGCGGGCTGCAGTTGCGGTGGACCAAGCTTCTGCTTGGAGTAAACAAGGGTCAGTCTCTAGTGCTGGACCGGTTAGATCGGTCCGTCCTGGACTGGTTTAACACAAGGCAACCTTTGGAGGTTTTATTCATTTTTCCAAATTGGTTAGGTTTTGCATGGGCAAAGAAATTTGATGTGAAACAAGTGAGAAACATTCTTTTGAATTGTAGTTTTTGGCTAAGTGTAATTTATATTATTGCAACTATAAAATTTTTGGTTCATGCTTTGTGAATGGTTGATGTGGAGAAAAAGTTAATGATGAGTATCATTTATAATGATATGGATGAGGCAAATGAGTTTATAGCAAAAAGCTAAGATACATTAGAGGGAAGCTACAAGTAAATTTGAATGATTATAAATGGGAAATGGGGGTTTCAATTGAGTTGATGTTTGCATGCAACTGGATATCATCTAAACTCTCATTATGAATATGATGAGACTAAGTCCACAAATCTTTGTACCATTATATGGATATAATGCATGCAACTGGATATCATCTAAACTATCTAAACTGTCATTATGAATATGATGAGACTAAGTCCACAAATCTTTGTACCATTATATGGATATAATGATTGTTAATTGAACATAGAGGAAGGTTGATCTCTAATTTATAGCTATTATAAATATATATTTTTTTAATTAAAACAAACTTAGGGAACTACAACCACACATTCCCCTGGAAAGTAAAAACCTAGCTTATGTAGACACTAACTTTTTTATATTTATTGGTTATTATTATTTTTTAATTTATAAATCATGATAATCTTGTATTCAAACACAAATAGTGCCCTGTCGGTGTTATGCGTGGAATCTGATTGTGTTAATCAATTTGTTTTTTTTTTTTTTTGTCTCAGACCTCAAAGCTTGTCGTGTTCGTTGGGGGTGCGGGGGATTACCCCCTATTTGGGTTCGAGTGCTTTGAACACGATATTTTTTCCCTACAGGTGTTGCGTATCTGAGCCCCTCGGCACTGTGTTCCCAAGTGCCCCAGCCCTGAACGATAGAGAGCATAGCGCTACAGCGGCATATATACGACATTGCAACTGTACAAGATAGAGGCTTGAGGGCCGTAGCGCCCCAAACTAGCGCTGTGAGACGGACTGTAAGGTTTTCTTTATCGTTTTTCTGAAGGGTTGCATTCCTTGGGTTTATTTTACTTGGCTTTTTCTTGTATTTTGAGAGTGTAGACATTGAGAATGGTACATGTGAGAAGAGAAGGAGAGTGAGAGAGAAGAGAGATCTGTAATTATTTCTCCTAATTTTCATAGTGGGTTTCTTGGTGTGGTGTGGCTCCATGGTTTTTTTCCCTATTTTGGGTTTTACCATGTTAAATCTTGATGCTCTTCACTTTTCCTCTGCTTTTATTTTCTTGCTTGTTTGATCATTGTGGTGTTTACTCATCTCCCCAACAGTTGGATGTTGAATAGTTTAGAAGGATGACATGGAGTTACATTATTATAATTATATGAGGAAGATGTCAATGTTGATTTTTTAACGAAGGGAAAAAAGAACAACAAAAGTTGATAAGAAGATAATAAAAACGGTAGTATAAAATTTTGTGTAATATAAATTATAATAACTTCATATAGAAATTATTTAAATAGTATTTTTATTTGAATTTATTAATTAGTGAAGAGAAAGATGATTGAAATTGAAAATGATAAAGAAGATTGAAAGGATGTTGATAATTCTACTGAAAATTTTCTAGGTGAGTTGAGTGGAGAGATTTTTGAATTTAGAGTTCTAAATAATAATTAGTTTATTTTAGAGCATATTTACTTTTGATGTTGGACTTCTTGTTTATCAAGACCTCTTGCTTATTATTGAGTTATTGTATGACTTTCCATGATGTTATGTTATAATTTTAAAACTATTGCTCACAAATGCTTTATTTTCTATATTTTTAATTTATTTTATAGTTTAATTCTTAGGCTTACACCTCAAATCATATTGAGACTAATGCCTGACCTTAAAAAAAAAGTCTTAATATTTGATTACATAATTTTTAACCCTGGACACAATGATACTTTTCATCTCAATGGAAATAAAATCCTTTCGATCATGGATTGTTCAATCGAGCTGCTATCAAATGCTGAACATGTAATGCTACTTTTGATGTTGTGGCCACAACATTGCGTGAAGAAATTGGAGTTGGAAACTAAGAGGAGCTAGGTTTTGTCACAGTTGATGATGTTGGCTGTGATATCATTATAGGAGGCTTTCGATTTGTTATTCAATCCTCCATTAACTAGTTAATTGGAATCCTTGTAATAAGGGATTGAGGTTGAACACCTATACCTCATGCAAAATGTTGTAACATAGACTTGATTCAAAATAGCTTTGAAGGAAAGAGAGCGAAATACTTGTGATTGAAAACTTCTTTAATGCAGTGGAGCCATTGATATATCCATCTAGATGGTCGAAAAGGCGTTGATCTATCAGATAGTTATACATCCCGTCAAAATTGAGGTGACCAAATTTGATCCAAAAGAAATTTTGGCATATGAAGATGTGAGGTGATGGATGTGCTGGGCTCTCTAAATCTGGAGGAAGTTCCAGATGGTGAGAAATGTCTTGAAGGGATTTCTAAGAGAGATTGGATGAAGATGAACCGGAGTGCTTGTGGCTTAATCAGAAATTGTTTATCTTAGGAGATCAAATATGTGGTGATGATAAAAACTTCTTCTATGAAGATGTGGAAGATTTTGGAGAATAAGTATTTGACAAAGAGTGTGAAGAATCGTCTCTATATGAAACACGGTCTCTACAGGTTTCAGATGAGACAAGAGGTTATAATTCATAAGCATCTGAATAACTTCACAAAGTTGTTGACAGATTTTTTGAAATTGGATAAAGCTGTTGGAGATGAAGATAAGATGCTTCTTCTATTGAATTCGCTTCAAGACGCTTCTTCTATTGAATTCGCTTCAAGACGAGTACAAAAACTTCACGATGACACTCATTTATGAGGAGGTCTTGAACTATAATGAGTTGACTAAAATATTGCTGAATCATGAGTTTTGATGTAGGGACAAGGAATTTGCAAAGATGGATTCGGCTGAGGCTCTCATACTCTAATGTGGAAGATCTGAAAAGCAAAAGAATAAACAGGGTGGCAACAGCAAGCGAGGAAAGTCTCGTGGGTGCAGTCTTGGGAAGAATCAGTATGTTTTTTTTTATAGACTGGCCATTGAAAGAATTATTGTCAGAAGCTGAAGGAGAAGGAAAAGGAAGTTTTCATGGAGGCAAAGACAAGCCTTAACATAGAAGAGCATGACGAAGACTCGGATATATCACTATATGTAGTTTTTTAGAGTTTGTATCCAGATGGTTTCTGCTAGATTTTGGATATTGGTACTACATATCACATTTGCCCCACAAGAGAGTGGTTCTATACCTATAAGGAGCTTGATAGTGTAGTGATCATAGAAAATGATCAAGCTTTTCATACTACTTGTGTATGAAGCATCTTCATCAGAATGCATGATGGTATTGTGAGAGAGCTAATTGATATGAGGCACGTTCCAGAAATCATGAAGAATTTGTTGTCTGTTGTGGCTTAGAGATCAAGGATTACAAGGTAATCATTGAGGCAAGAGTTCTGAAGATGTATCATGGAGGGATGGTGCTTTTAAAGGGAGTGTCACCACAACCTGTATTATCTTCAGTGGAAAACAATGATTGAAATGGTTCCTATTATTGATGATTCTTCTAATGCCACTATATTGTAGCCTATGCAGCTAGCTTTTATTGGAGAGGCATTTCTTATGATTTTAGTGAAACAAGGATCAAAGAAGCAAACACCTACAAGCTCAATTTTTGTGAATAGTGTGTTTGAAAAGAAGACACGAGTATCATTTGATACTGTCATGCATAGTACAAAGGGTATCATGGAATATGTTCACATAGATGTTAGGTGCTTAACAAAGACAACATCATTTGGCAGGCATCGATACTTTGTCTTTTTTATTGATGATTACTCTAAATATCTTTGGGTGTACACCACAAGACGTAAGCGCGAGGTACTGAAGATTTTCAAAACTTGAAAGAAGCGAATTGAGACTTAGATCGCCAAAAAGATTCGGTGTATCAGATCAGACAATGTGGGTGAGTACACTTCAGATGCATTCTTACATGAGTGCTAATGATTTGGGATAGAGCAGCACTTCAATATTAGAGAGACACCACAACATAATGGGGTGGCAGAGAGGATGAACTGGACTTTGGTGGAGAAAGTTTAGTGTATGTTATCAAATGATAGGTTGGATAGAGTCTATTAGAATGAAACGATAGACTATGCCTATCACTTGGTGAACTGTCTTACTTCTACAGCTATTGGAAAGAAGACCTCAAAGGAGATGTGTTTGGGATATCCTACTAGAGATTATGCGTACTTGAGAGTGTTTGGGCGTCCAGCTTACTATCATATTTAGAATGATAAACTGGAACTGCGTAGAAAGAATGTGTTTCAGGCGTGGAGTCGGGTCTTCAAACTCTATGTTCTAGTAGAGAAGAAGACGAGGTGAGCATGTTGAAACCTCGAGACTTTAAGCTGGTGAAGAGTTCTATTGAGACCATAGATGCGCTACATAATTTGGAGTTTGATGCAACTCCATTTGTTCCATAGAGACATCATTTTTATCCAGGTACCTGATTTAGCTACAGATCATAAGGTAGAAGATGATATTGAGGATGAGGTTCCAACTCAAGAATCTATAGCAAGAAATATGTCCACATGCTAGAATGTCCTAAAATTCGCTTGGTTTAGGGTCACATTGTACTTGCACTTTCAGCTATAGAGGCTGAAGTTCCCAGTTATTATAAAGAAGCAGTGGATAGTCCTGATGGTGATCATTGGAATAGGGATATGGGTGAAGAGATGGAGTCTCCTCAGAAGAATGCTAATTGGAGATTGGTGAAGCTTCGACCAAGACGAAAAGCCATTAGGTGCAAATTGGTGTATATAAAGAAGAAAGGATCTCATGGAGCTGATCTGCGGTATACAAGGCTAGGTTGGTGGCAAATAACTTTATGTAACAAGAAGGGATTGCTTATGATGAGGTGTTCTCCCCAGTGATTAAGCATCCCTCTGCCTATTAGTCACTTGGCACTTGTAGCACACTATAGTCTAATTCTAGAGCAGCTAGATGTAAAAATTATGGTTTTGCATGGGGAATTGTGGGAAGACATCTACATGTTACAGTTGCCTGGATATGAAGCCTCAAAAGACTTGATTTACATATTAGACAAGTCTTTAGTTGGTTTAGTGAGCAGGTTCACCTGTTGTAAAAATTTGGTGAACATTAGAGCTCATGACTAATTGTCCACTTGTTTTGAAGAACTACACTTGGCTTGGTCCCTTTGGGATGGGGGTAAGTAAGCACCATCTGGATACATTCATTCTGATATTGAAGCCTAGTTTGTTATCTTCCATTTACTGGAGTGAAAGATGAGGTGGAGATTGTTGATTTGGAGATCTTTTCAAATTATGGAGAGCGTTAATTTGAGAAATATTTAATGGCTAATCATTGCATTGATTTGGAACTTGATTTTTGCCAAAATTAGGAGATTTAATTTGCACTAATTGGGAGATCTAATTGGCATAATTAGATCTTCATTAATTAAATTTTCTTTATTTTGTTTATTTCAAATCTTTAAATTGGGTCTATGGGTTGTTATAGAGTCATGAGAGGAAAAAGAGAGAGAACTAAATTGTAATCTATGTTTTTCTCCAATATTGTGAAATCATCATCCTCTCCCCATTAGGGGTGTCAATATTGGACATGACCCGAAAATCCGACTCAAACCCGACCCGCAAAATTTCGGGTTTGGGTTGACCTGATCCCGAAATGGGTCGGGTTCAACAATTCGACCCGTTTCAAAAATCGGGTTGGGTTCGGGTTGACCCGTTGACCCGAAATTTACCCGAAAATGACCCATTTTTTACCCGAAAGCTCATTTTTTACCCGACAACCCGAGATTGACTTGTTTTGACCCGAAAAGTAGAGTGACTCATTTTTGGACTAAAAAACTAGCAATTTTTGTCTGACCCGGGCCATTCGGGTTGGGTCGGGTTGACCCGGACCCGAAGCGGGTTGGGTTCAGGTCCGAAAAACCGATCCGTTTGCAGAAACGGGTCAGGTTCAGGTTGACCCGAATAGTGCCAGGTCTGTTTCGGGTTCAACCCGAACCCGACCTATGACCCAAAATTTACACCCCTAATTCCCATTGGACGTAAGCATCTTCATCGAACCACGTAAATAATCATGTTATTTGTGTTGATTGTGCTTTGATTTTTGATTTGTTTATGCTGTGTTTTCCCAACATATTTGGTGCAATTTGGTCAATTCGATTTGCAATCTCAACACTTCTGCACTTTCTTTTGCTAATTTATTCATGCTATAACCAGTTAACTACAAGCATTTGAATTTTGTTTGAAGTTCTATTTTGAAACATTCAAAATCTTTTTGCTGAACTTCCTAATTCAAGTTTTATTGTGAAATATATTATACATGAACTTGAAAAAAAACACTTTCTCGAATCCTTTACTTTTGTATGCAGGAGGTCATTTATTAGCGTTATGCAAACTACTCACTTCTGAGTAAAATCTGCTTGAATTTTATTATGGTTGCTTATAAATTGTTATAATAGTATGGATATGCATACTTGCTATTTCCGTCTGCTTACATCATGAAGTTCTGTTCTCTTTTCAGGAAGACCTTTTCTACAGGCCATCATGTATGCATTTACTTGTTTCGACCATTGGGAATGATAGTGGGAATGGCCTCTGCAATCGATATGAAGTGGGAATTTTAACTAGATGATCAAGATATGGAAAGCTACAAGAGAAGCGTCGACAAGATAGACAGGTTAGATCCAACCTATAACTGGTTTGTTGTATTTAGGCTTTGTTTTGGAAGACTTTCTTGCTGCTTCTTAGAGCCGCTTTCTAGTACAAAAATTAAAATTTTTGTGCTAGAAAGCAACTTTTAGAAGCAGCAAAAAAGCCGTCCCAAACGAAGCCTCAGATGTACAGTATACGTGTGACTCTCCGCAGATTTTTTGTCAATAAAAAAAGTGCTTTCATATCCATAGTTTTCTTGAAACAAATGTCATCTCCTGATTAAAAACAAAGCTCTCTTGATGTGGAAGATTGGCTGGCTGTCAGATAATGCAAAATTTATTGTCACCGTTTGAGGCTAACTTGAAGGAAGCTCAAAAGCATTTAGTAAATTCCTGAGAAAACATCTTTTCAAAGTTTGCATGTTACATAAATCCCGATAGCAGATTGTCTTATTTGGAAGAAGAATTACTGATTAACAATGATCCTTAACTTTAAAATGTTTATCAGTCGAGGCTGTGGCATTTCTAATTCGGTAGCTTTGTGGAGGAAATCCAATTTTCTATAGAGGATGTATTTGTAGATCTTGTGGTTGCTATTTTGATCTTTGTGAGCAATTGAGATTTGTCTACAGGAGATACAGAAAAATGCGAGATCTTGGAATGTGGAAGATTTTTTATTCTTTTGTTGGAATAGCAGGGAGAGTGACTTCTACTTTTATATTGGAGAGGGAATATGGAGAGATTCCAACCTAGTTTAAATATGAAGAACTATTTGATTTTCATCTGTCTCAATTCTCTCATAAAAGAGTCGAATCATTACCTGGATGCATCAGTTAGAAGTGTGCAAATTAGTAAACAGTAATATCACCGAGATTTCTAAAAAGGAGACTGGATCAATTGCTGTTATATGTTAATACGTTTGTTCAACATACCATCTAGCTTGCTAAGAAGTGAATAAATCCTTAGTGGAACAATGGGAGAAACAAGAAGCTAACCAAGCAAACTAACTAAAAATAAAGAAAAATTAGAAAGGGATAAAGACACCAATAATATTATAATTGGCTCCAAAATGTTCCTAAACATAGTATAATAATGGTCTTTAGTGATAGTATAATATCATAAGTGA